ATCATGGTCTCAGGTGGATCATGGTCTCAGGTGGATCATGGTCTCAGATGGATCATAGTCTCAGGTGGATCATAGTCTCAAGTGGACCATAATCTCAGGTGGACCATAGTCTCAGGTGGATCATAGTCTCAAGTGGATCAAAGTCTCAGGTGGATCATAGTCTCAGGTGGATCATAGTCTCAAGTGGATCATGGTCTCAGGTGGATCATGGTCTCAGGTGGAACATGGTCTCAGGTGGACCATGGTCTCAGGTGGATCATGGTCTCAGGTGGACCATGGTCTCAGGTGGATCATAGTCTCAGGTGGATCATAGTCTCAAGTGGATCATAGTCTCAGGTGGATCATAGTCTCAGGTGGACCATAGTCTCAGGTGGATCACAGTCTCAGTTGGATCACAGTCTCAGTTGGATCACAGAATCAGGTGGATCACGATCTCAGGTGGATCATAGTCTCAGGTGGATCATAGTCTCAGATGGATCATAGTCTCAAGTGGATCATAGTCTCAAGTAGACCATAATCTCAGGTGGACCATAGTCTCAAGTGGATCATAGTCTCAAGTGGATCAAAGTCTCAGGTGGATAATAGTCTCACGTGGATCATAGTCTCAAGTGGATCATAATTTCAGGTGGATCACAATCTCAAGTGAACCATGGACTCAAGTGGACCATAGTCTCAGGTGGATCATAGTCTCAGTTGGATCATAGTCTCAAGTGGATCATAGTCTCAAGTGGATCATAGTCTCAGGTGGATCATGGTCTCAGGTGGACCATGGTCTCAGGTGGACCATGGCCTCAGGTGAATCATAGTCTAAGATGGATCATAGTCTCAGGTATATCATGGTCTCAGGTGGATCATAGTCTCAGGAGGATCATAGTCTCAGGAGGATCATAGTCTCAAGTGGATCATAGTCTCAGGTGGATCATGGTCTCAGGTGGACCATAGTCTCAGGTGGATCATAGTCTCAAGTGGATCATAGTCTCAGGTGGATCATGGTCTCAGGTGGCTCATGGTCTCAGGTTGGACCATCGTCTCAG